TTTTTAATATTTTTATGATCTGTCTGATTACTAGTGGGTAATAATAAATAGGTCATCTGTTCTCTCCTTTCCTTCTTTTTCACTTCCTTTCCCCTCTGACCCCCCCCCCCCCGCTCATTCATGACTTACACAACTTCCTGTTTTCTTTTGCTATCTTCCTTACCTTTCTATTCTTCATCTCCTTTCTTTTCCCTTTTTTCTTCCTTTCTTTCTTTTCTCTGTCTTGTCATTTTTTATTTCAAAAATTTATCATCCATTAACTGTTTGAAAAATCCTGTAAATTTAATTTTACAAGGTGAAAATGATCATTTACATAATGGTTATCTTAATTCCGATTGTATGAAATTTATTGCTCTGTTCAATAAAAAACATTGAGCTGTATGTGTGAATCAGTTTTAATATTTTATATTGTGTTTTTTAAAAATATCTCTTTTTCTGAAAGAAATACTCCTTTCTTAAGTGAACATACATGATTATAAAAATATTAAAAAAAAACAGTTAAATTCAAAACGTTCTGTTATTTAACATATATATCACTTAAATTAATCCCAAACTAAAATAATATAAATAATAATTACATTAACAAAAAAAAAAAAAAAATTCAATAAAATTTACTTACTTTCATTTATTAGATATTAAATTACTTTGTCAGCCTGATGTATATTTATGAGCATTCTTAAATTTAAAAATTCTAAAAGACTAGCAACATTTTTACTTTTATTTCTGAATACTTGTTGCAAAATAAAATCCTTACATTTGCCTTATATTTGCATCAGAAAAGGAAATGTGTTGGCTAAGATAAGTTTTCCTTTTGTCTTTATTCATATTGTCTTTTTACAGATGTATTTTTAGTTATAGTTTACGTTTTACATATATTTACATTTTACATACATTTATATACATATATTACATTTTAGATATATTTATATACATATATTTATATACTGAACAGAAGAGCTCACAAAAGAAGAGAAAGAGAAAATTATATTTACATGTACACAGAAAGCTCAAAAAATGGAAAGAAAAATATGTTTAGCTATTGTGTGTTTGTAAGTCTACCACATGGTTGGGTGGAATTAAGAAGTTGGCCTGCCTGCAGTGTTTCCTCTCAGAGTCATGTTATTGCTATTCCACCCTGGAGCAAAAAGAGAGGAAGTGGGTTTATGCCCATCCCTTTTATAGCCCTGAATAAAACCTCACCTAACAGGAATGCTGGCTGACAAGTTGGAGTAATCCCTACATAATAACTTTGAAAATAAAATAAAGTTTACTTACTTTTGTTTTTTTTTCTTTTAAGCCTGTGTTTATTTCAGAAATGTTATTTGATGATTATGTAACTTGTGATATGGATAGATTTATTAAACAAATATGTCAAAACTTTCATTCGCTCCGCGGTTATATATATAATAATAATAGATGATATGGTAAAAGCATGTAAGGAAATTTCAGTTATGTCTTTAGCAGTTGAACAAATTTAACAAATAGGAATTCAACCTTGATAGTTTAATATTTAGTTGAAAATTTTATGAAAAACATTTTAGAAGATACAAAGGATACATGTTGATTGTCAATAGAAAAATTTGTTACAATTTGCCATTTTCCTAATACAAGAAGGTGAAGGTTATTGATAGCCATGACTGAATTAAATTCTTGCCCTGGCATTAGAATACACTTAGTGCATCACTTGCAGAGATGTAAGTCCTTTGCTAAAATGGTATAAAAAGGATTAAACTTGATCAATGTCTGCCTTTTTGACTAATAGAAACCAAACTTGTGTCTGCCTTTTTGGCTTTTGTGCAAACCAGACCTATATCTGCCTATCTATTAATTGTGATTTTTTGTCCAATAAGTTCAGCATTAAATTACCAGGTTTTGATATGCTGTTAAATTTACAAACCTAATCATGTATGAAAATCACTATAGTGCTTCAAAGTAAAATGTGCTGAAATAACTTTCAAATTCTGGCACTTAATGTGTATGTTGTGCCTTGAAAATTGGGAAAGAAAATGATTATCAGTGATTAGGAGTTAATGAAAATATTGTTGACAGAATTGTGTGTGTGTGTATATATATATATATATATATATATATATATAATAATTAATAATCATCATGGCTTGGCTTCACAAAACGAAGATCAAGAGGGAGTCTCTACACGTTGATTGCAGGCACGTCCAATACAGGACAGGAATACATGGTCATATGTCTCTATCTATCTATCTATCTATCTATCTATATATATATATATAGAGAGAGAGAGAGAGAGTGTGTGTGTGTTCAATGGGTAAATTGTTGTCTAAATTACACAAAAATGAAAATAAGACTGACATGTCATTTTAACAGATATATTTACTAAAATTACACAAAAAATATCTTGAAATTCTAAAAACTAAATTTATTCAATAAAATCGCCATTGGCTTCGACCACGGCCTGATGTTTAGGGAGTTAGGTGGCCAGATGTAAGGGGTGATGTTACAGAAATTGTCTGACAGCTGTGACTGAGTTCTCCTGCTTGTGTTGCATGGTGCAGAGTCCTGTTGCCATATATAGGGTGTTCCAGCAGCCACCCTCTTGACCCAGAGCCGCACTACCTCCTCAAAGCACTTAATGTAGGCCAATGAGTTGAGTCTGAGGCTCTGTGGGAAGATAAATAGAAGCATAGCATCACCATCACTAGTGATCACTCCAAACACCTTCATAATCACCATTAGACTCATCCAACTCTTTCCAAATCCTCTGCACTGTCCTCAGATTGACACCTAAACACTCTGAAATATTTGTATTGGAGCTTCTGGCATGAATGCCAAATAGTACCACATAACATTTCCAAATTATGGCACTATTTTTCTCATAGACGCTGCCCAACTGACACTATTATACTGTACAGTTGTCCAAACCAAAAACAAACAACACGCATGCACAAAATTAAAAATATAAAATGGCGACAATTTACCCATCGCACATTGTATATACTTGTGTATAAGACGACTTCATGTATAGTGCAACCTCTGAATATTTTGGTATATATTTTAACCTCTCCAGAAAAAAAAAAAAAAAAAATTACCTGTGTATAGTGCAACTGGTCACTGAAAATGCAGGATTTTTAACCACTTCAAAAAAAAATTTCCTGTGTAGTGAGAACCTATTTTATTTTTGCAAATATATATGGTAAATTATTTTAAAAATGAAGACCATTTTTCAGCGTTAAGTATTTTATTTGTACTTTACATGACCAACAAATTGAAATTTCTTTAATTACAACAAAAATGCCAATTAATAAAAGAAAAAAAATTTGATTTTTATTATTCTTCATTGGAAGTAGGAGAGCAAAAAAAAAAATGAAATGTAGTCAAGCCTTTTATTTATACATATATATATATATATATATATATATATATATATATATATATATATATACTGTTATTAGTAATAAAATGTGAAAACCATAGCATTTTATTTTCAAACTACTAAAAAATATCATTTTTAATGTGTGCACTAAATAAGTTCTATTTGCTTTTAAAACGTTTGAACCTTGACCCCATTGATGATTATGAATCTCTCACCCTGGGCCCCTGTTGTCCATGACTCTGGTTGGTATACCGGCCAATTGAGTTCAAATGGTTGCTATTTTCATCATTAATATATTCACCTTGTAACAGTCTCAAGTATTAAGTCTGCTTAATATTCTGCTTGTATTCCAGAAGTTTCTTGGACTATAAAAGATATTCTTTTACTTTTCGTTGTTACAATATTTCAGTGTATCTGTTTTACTTTTCTTGGGTGTACAGTCTGTATGGAGTTATGTGAGCTACAAGATAATGTTTAGTGTAATCAGCATTTTTTTTTGTTTTTTAGCAATAAAAATAGTAGATTTGTAGACATACCTTTAAGAAAGAGATCCCTACTTTGCATAGATTGCACACCTGAGGATAATGTAGCAATGAATTAAACAAAATGTGGTTTAAAACAAAAAGAATGAAATCAGTAATCCGGACATCTGTTATGAAGTCTCAAAATGATAGAATCTATCTTAGCCATGTAGTTTTTACCTTGTGTTATAGACTTACTATTTGAGATGCTTTCTTGCTTAGTGAAATGCAAATTCTGAGATGTTTTGAACAACTAATTTCAGAATGATTAAAACAACAAAGATAATTCTGGTTGGTTTCACATTTGTAGCTGAAACAATTTAGTTTTTTGGGCAGTTATTAGAAAATAGAAGAATAGAAAAAAAGGCTTAATAATTTGTGATAAGAAAGACATTCAAACAGATAGCAGTTATATATGAGCAATTGACAATTTTAAATTTCAACTTCTCTTGCTGCATTCATTTTAGCATAAATGCCTTTGTTTTATCTCCCGGCAGCTATAGGTTAAATAAGCAAGAAAGACTGGGCTCTGTAGCTCTGGGTGGGAAATAGTCGAAGAGAAAAACTCTGAATTTCAGACTGGAGAAAGCAACAGGAAATCACTCCACCATCTTTAACAGAGAGCATGGCAATTCACAGATAGTAAAAGAAGTAAAAACAGTCTGTTAATAGTCAGGGTTGTGCACAACCTTCCCCCCCCCAATTTTATTTATATTTAAAGCTTAACCTTTTGTGGGTTATTTAAATTTGGAAAATATTTTTTGATTCTAAGAAATTTTTGGAGATAACAATGATTTACTGATACAGATTCTACTAATTAACCCATAGCTAGGGGGAGAAGTTAGATTCATACCTTTCCTGAGAGTATTTTCACATAAGTGAATATGATGAACCAGACTGGAACTGGAATTTGGTTCTCTGATTTTCAATTCCAAGCCATTATCTATTACACCAGCTACACTTCTAAACTTACAGCACCTGCTATTCCCAAGAGTTTTATTTTAAATAGTAATAAATATATGCATGGCTATGAAAATCTTTGCACATGTACAAATGGCATAACTGTTATTGCAATATTTACTTTGAATGTTCCTTTGATGTCTTCATAATTTAACCCACTTTATTTTTAGTTGGCTGCTCTTGGCTTAAAGATTATCTTAATCAGTCGGTCTCCTGAAAAATTGGCTGCAGTTGCAAAAGAAATAGGTGAGTATAACTGTCCATTATGTCATTTTGCTTATTAAAAACTACATTTTTTATTTTCCGTTTCATGCCTTTTTTTTTTTTTTTTTTTTTCTTGTCTCTATCTTCTTTATTCTTGTTTTCCTAGTTGTTTTTTTTTTTTTTTTCTTTTTTTTTCGACTTTTTATTAATGTTTGTTTTTTTTTTTTTTTTTTTTACTCGTTTTTATCTTTTTATGGTTACAAATTTTCATTTGCCTGTATGTACATACAGACATTTTAATTTAAACATTAGATGTGAATTAGGGCAATTTTCCATTTGTAGGGGAGATAAATCTCAATAAATTAAATCTTGTTGTAAGGGAGACAACTTAGCCTATTTTCGGTATTGAAATTAAGTTTGTGTAAAATATAAAGATATATTGAAATTAAATGATTTAAAAAATCCTTTTGGCTTTTTTTTTTTTTTTTAGCTTTTTTTAAAACTTTTTTTATAATTAAAAGGAATGCGAAAGAAACAAATATGATTTTTGTCTCATTAAAATAAGTTTAGAAATTATAAAATTTATAATTGGAGTGTGGCATGAGTTTTGTTCGGTGGGGAGAATTTAATCTAAATAAATTGCCTTCTTATTGACAGAAAAGTGTTTTTTTTTGTTTTTTTTTTGTTTTTAAGCTGAAGCATTTTAATTCTGGAAATGTATTTTATAATTTGCATTCTGGAAATGTAGTTTTATAATTTTAAAGATCTGCTTCGAGAAGTAAATATTCATTTTATTGAAATTTTAATATTTGCTTTTAACCCTTAATCTCATTTCAAATAGTTGATAAATAAAGAGCTGTGAATAATAAACTGAACTAATAAAGTAATTGTTCTGATGAGCTTTCCTCTTTGGTATTGTGACTTCACAAATTTAAGCACAGTATAAAATTGGCAGTTAGGTCTGATAATTTCACTGTTGAACTTACCAGTTGTAACTTTAATTTCTATCCTAATAGTTTCTTCTATCATTTGTGGAACTTTCTTTCTATTTCCTACTTTCCCGCCAACTATGATCTTCAAAAACTGCTATGGCTATTGCCATTTTCTTGCTCCTTGAACCTGTTCTTTTATTGTCCTTTTCGTTTTTCTCACTCACAGTAACTCCTTGCATCCTAATGGCTTTTATCCCATCACTTGGTGTGAAACGATTAAAAAAAGAAATGTTTGAATTGGAACAATAAATTTTAGAGGTGCTTATCTCTGGATCTATATATGGTTCTCCATTAATCTCTGCTTTGTCAGGTAAATTGCTTAAAATCAAAAAAGAAGCCATGTGTTAATAGATCCTAAGAAGCAGACTAACCTGACAAAAGGTGTCTAACAGTGGAAGAGAATCTCTCTAACTAATATGAATGTAGAGATTTACTAAGCCTGGATTAATCTGATAGACGATCACAATGATCCAGCGAAGAGAAACCATCTTATAATAAAGGCAGTTATCTGTGATTGACTATCATACATGAATATATGTTGCTATCAAGTGAAAATATTTGAAAAAATAAATACAATTATGGTATCTATGTGTATTTGAAGGATATAGACCCCATTTTGTTTGATAAAATAATCTTTTGAATATAAATAAGGAATACAGTTATCTTATTACTAAGAAAGACCTTGCATATAACTTTATCCCCCCCATCAAAAAAACAAAAAAAACATTGCTTACAAAATTCAGAATTTATCTTATTAATTACATTTTGACAATTTAGTTTTTAATTTGAAATGTTTGAATAGTTTTTATTAAATTATTGATATTGAAATTTCAGATTTTTAATCCTAAATGTATTGTTTTCTTTTACAGAGGAAGCCCATAAAGTTGAAGTACGAACCATTGCTGTTGATTTTTCAGATAATGAATCTATCTACAATAAAATAAAAAATGAACTGAAAGGTCTTGACATTTCAATATTAGGTATGTATATGTTTATATGTATCTGATTTTCTGTGCTTTCTCAGACTAACTTTCTCTGCTGACATAAAGTGGAAAGATTATATTAAATTACTAGGTTTGCTGCTAAGAAATTTGGTTCATTGTTGTGCTAGACAATTTTTCTCTCTAGAATCTATCTTACATATTTATAAGTCTGTCATTTATCCATTCTTGGAATATTAACTGCCACATCTGGTCTGGTGCTCCTGCTATATATTTAGAGATAAATATATAGCAGGAGAATATATATCTTGGCCAAGTATGACAATAGTACTCCTATTACTGGAAGCTTTATACAGATTTATGGGTGATCAAGTTATAACTTCAAATTTGAATGTGCATTTTTCATAACTTTGAAATGGAATGCTTATAACTTGAAAGGAATTTTATCATCCCCCAGGAATCTTAGTCACTCGGACTATTATTATTGAGACCATGTTGGGCTTTTTGAAATGTTTTTCTTTGTTTTTCATTTTCATGGAAGCGATGTTAAAATGCATCCTCAAATTTTTTTTTTTTTTTTTTTTTTTTCCACTTAAAAATTTTTTTTATTATTTGTGAATATTTGATGTTTATTTTTTCTCTTTTTTTACTTCAACTTTTTATTTCATTTATATAATAAATGCAAATGTCAGTGTGTCACACTTTTTCAACTTTACTCGTAGAGGCCTAACATATTGTACCTTTTTGGAATCAGACTCTGAGCAAATTAAAAAAATTCCAGGCCAGATGCTCACCTGCAATCCTGAAATTTTTTTATTTCCAAGTTTTCATAACTGTGATTGTCTTTGGTGATTGTTAACATGATATTTTGCACCATTTTGTACGATAAGAATTTTTATAACTTGAAAATAAATTTGGGAATAATTTAAATTAATTGTGGAAGCCAGCCATGACATAAAAATAATTGTTTGTACAGAAAGTAAGGACCTACATACATCAAATTGTCTTTAAATTAAGTGGTAGCAGAAGAATTATCATTGAACTTTTTAAAAGGTAAGCTTAGATATTAATGCAATACTTAAATGTAGTGACCAATTTTGCGTTCTTCTGTAGTTTAATGTTCGCTGTTGTATCTACTCCTCTCTACCTATTGTGATGAAGATGCAATTGAGAGCCCTTTGAAGGAGATAGCTTAAATGCCACCTTTTAAGCTAGTTTTTAATATATTTTATTTTTAAATAATATATTTTTTTAGTTATATATTTTAAATAATTTTTTTATTATGTCTAGTCAGTGTTGGATTATTTATGCTCATGTTTCAAACTGCATTTTTGTTTACATTTTTTTAGTGAATAATGTTGGAATGTCTTATCCTCATCCAGAATATTTTGTAGAAATTCCCAACAGAACTGAGGTAGGCATTTTTCTTCTTTTTGAGACAAGCTGTTGTCATTGTTTAAAATTGATTTCATTTGAGCATATAATATATTCCATTTTGAAAATGCAAATTTCATTAATGACAAAATAAACAGTTTTCTATAACTAAATTTGTTGTTATAGCTGTTCAACCAAATATGTCAGTTTTTAATAGAAGAATTTAGTTAGATTTTCATATTTGCACATTCTTGTGTGGCATTCATGACTGAAACTCACCATCCCCCAATCACTTACTCTTTTTTTTTTTTCATCTTGCAGAAATTCTTATCTAATTAAAAAAGCTTGTGATGCTTCTTTCATTTGCAGTTTATTGTGTGTATTATACATTGTAAAAGGGTGCAAGGCTGACAAAATGGCATTATTTTAGAAGTTTCTCAATGTTTTTATTTGAAGTTATAAAAACGTCAAGGATGAACCTAAACTTGGAAGGGAGTAAAATAAAATTTTTACAGAATAATCCACAAATATATTAGAATAAAATTTCAGTTAAAATTAATTTTTTCTGAAATGATCTTGTTCTTAAAAATTCATCACTTTTGGGAAAAAAAAAAAAAATATCAAGTTTGTATGTTTAGTGCAAACTGGTAAACAATTATATTTTCTATCTCAAATTGATCCTGTCAGGCAGTTTCTCATTTTCAGCTGATCTTTGTTTTTTTTTTTTTAGCCTAGAACCCCTAAACTTTTTAAATCATAAACCTCTCCATGGAATCCTTGATCTTTCACCTGAAAGCATATACAAAAAAATATCAGTAATAATTTTTTTTTTTATTTAAGATTAGAAATTTCTGTGCCTTTTCTTTTATTATTGTTTCTCAATAAGATTCATTTTAACTTTGTTTTCTTATTCCATTTTCTTTTTCTCTTCATATACCTGAAAGAGAAAAACTCATAAGCACTATAGATAATAATCAACACATTAAAAAGAAATTAATGTACCTTTTTAATGAACTGGTTGATGTCTTTAATGGGGCGAATGTGTTTGATGAGCAGTCGCATGAACATGGATCTTTAGTTGGAAATTGGTAAATTTTAGCTGTAAGTCACCATGTAAGGCCCCTTTTGCTACCCAGACATTTTTTAACTCCAGCATAAGCTCAATGATCACTTTGGAGATCCCTGGTTTAGTCAGTGTTTGAAGAAATTTGTGTACATAAAAACTAGCAATTAAAGTGTTGAACTATAGTAGTTCTCTGTAATCTTGCTAATCTTTTTTAAGAATGTTGACTGAAATTCTGCAATTAATTATTTTCATTATTTCACTCATTTTTTAAATTTGTAGCTTCAATGTTATTGATTTTGATATTCATGTTGTTGCATCATAAAACATTGGTTACACTTGTAGGGAAAAATAAAATAGTTAACAAAATGCCAGTGTATCACAAGTAATTTTTACTGAAATCAGACATCAAACTCAGACTTTGTTTCTCATTTTCATAGAGGGCCAAGCAACTCATGCAAATTTTTGTTTGACCATCCTGGTTAAGAGTGTCTTGAGTATATATACATTCTTGCATTTTTGAGATAGGTTTGCGATATATATTGTGTGGACTGGCAGCTAATTTCGAGAATCATTTGGATTTGGAAATATCTGATACAGTTATTTTTAAAGAGATTAGAAACGCAAAGGTGCTCAGTGACTTTTAAGATCATCAGATAATAAATATAAATGAGGAAAACAAGAAAGTTACAGATACTAGTCTGACAAATGTGTAGAATAATTAAAAAAAAAATGTTTTTCAAATCTCCTTTTGTTGATTTATCTATTCTTTCTTATTTCTTTCAGACTCTCAGTTCATTGATAAAATTAAATGTTGTTGCTATGACAATGGTAAGTTCTTTTAATTTCTCTTTGATTAAAATAATCATTTACACAATATATCCAGTTATGGTTTAAAAATAACAGTTTATTGTATTCCATTCAAAATTAACTTTTAAATATTTTACAGGATAAAAAAAAAAAAACAATGGGTGTTTTCATTTCCACAATCCCTTCTGAAAAATTCTTGTTTATTCAAAGTCATATTTGTGCCATTTAAAATATCCATTTTGCAGTTATTTTATTTATGCTTTGAGTACAAAAATAAAGCAGATATAGACTTGGAAGAATCCCCCCAAAATATGTGTATTCCTTACGTAGGTAATTGAATCTTGTTTTATCATGATGGTTTCTTGTAACCTAATTGGTAGAGTACACTTCAGCTAGAGAAGTAAAGAAGTGGTTAAATGGAAAAGGGAATACAAATTTGATTCCTGTCAAGAGGCACATTTATCTTTAGTAAGGGCTTTTCAAAGCTGGTTGGTATGAACACTGTTTAAAATAACAAAATGGATGTCAACTCACACATGTAAAAAATAATGTTGAATTTGATGTCATATATATGTCGAAAGTACTTGCATATTTAAGGAAAACCTAATACAGTTTAATTTTAAAACTCAAGGATCATAACATTCATCAATTAGTTAGTGGGTTAATGCATCTTTAAAATTTAGTTAGCGAAGTGAATTTCACATTTTCTATCATTAACTTTACTAATATTTTTTTTTTGTATGAATGATTCAGACATCAAACTCAGACTTTATAAACGAGAAGATTATAAACATCAAACTATAAATCTTTAGTTGGAAAATTGGTAAATCTTCTTAAATTTACTTTAATTACTTTTTTTTTAAGCTGCATCACATATTTGATGTAAAATATATATATATATATATATATATATATATACTTATGCAGTTTGTTTTTTTTTTTTTTAAGCTAATTTTAATGCGGTTGCATCATGCATGAGATTAGCATATATACTGCTAGTGCTGGCTATGTCTTTGACCAAACTATATAGCCACCATATACTGTAGTCAAATTATCTTTAAAATTAGGTCTTCAAAAGTTGCATGATATACAGTATATATGTGAACAAGACAGAGCTTTCTAAACATATATGCAAAATTAAACCCAAACCAAATTACACCAAGAATATGGCAAATAAGGAAAATAACATCAGCCTGCAACAATTAAGCAAAAAACTGTAAACTTTGTCTGGAAGAGAAAATACCTTTTATCACCTTCTGAGACCAATACAAACTACTAAATGAACAATTAAAACTTATCTCAAAATGCAGACATGAAAACAATATTTTACTATGTAACTTAAAAATTGAAAATTAAAAACAAATACTTTGTAAAATACAACACAGATAATGTAACACTTTAGACAAAGCCAACACTTTAAACTACAAACAAGATACAAAAAAAACAAATTAACTATGAATACAAACATAAACACATTGTAATAATAATAATAAACAAATAATTAAGTAATAAATAATGAGTAAAATCTAAAAAACAACACTATAAGATAGCTACAAATAACTGCATTCAAATTCACAATTATTTCCACTCCATATCCTCTAGAATAATTTGAAAGATAACTGTTATTAGCCATTCAATAACTGTCAGGATAATACAATAGACTTTACTATCCATGATACACCACTGACCAGCATATATAAATAGTCGAGCCAAAACACAACACACTTGGCCTGAAGATTGCATTCAAACATGAAACAGATTTGTTGCCACTTGGTGTTGTCTTCAATTGTCCACTTTTATATTTACATAAATTCTATCTCTGATATTGAGCACTTTTACTCAGAAGTATAACATACTTTAAAACTATACTTTCATCATGTATATATATATATATATATATATATATATATATATATATATATATATATATACATTTTTATTATATTTAAATTTCTGAAAAAAACATGGATGTCTACTCACACATTTATACACTAAATATAATGGTTAACACAGTGGGGAAACAATACCATATTATAAATTAAAAATCCATTAATTCCTTAGAAATTACTTTGTTTGCATTTCAAATATGCAAATAAAGTTAGCATATGTGGGTTTCAAGGGATCCCAACGAGAGATGCGTGTCCCTTGAATAAGGTAATTGAATCTTCTGAAAGTTTTCTGTGGTTGAACACTCTAAAGCACATTGGGCTTAACAGTAGTTTTCTTTATAAGGGTGACGAAGGTTTGAACCCTGTGCATTTTCTTAATTAAGATTTTCGAATGTACAGGCCATGAAATTATTCTGTTTAAGAAACGCATTTATCCACTAAATATAACATTTAAAGTATTAAAAAAAAAATTGTTTTTCTTTGAGTAACGCCTCCTACCCTAGTAATTGAAAGTCTTATAGAAAAAATAGTGTCTCTCTCTGCTGTGATCAAACCTGTTCTTTTTGTCCTGAAAAAATCTGCCTGAAAGTCAGATTTTCTCTCTTCATATCTAATTCTAACCTAATTAATAAATGAAATAGACTCAACTTAACCCTGATGATTGACTCTGTGTTTACAAAACTTCAAGTCAGAAGATAAGTCATTGTAATTTTTATCTTACTCTATCTAATATAGATATTTTTTTCTCTTTAAAATGGTTGAAGAGTGCATCATTTCAGAGATAGTATTTGGAAATATGGACATAGAAATCAGCACTGCATGGTGACTGTTGGTTTCATGCCCACAAATCAGAGTTGATTTCTATGATTAACATACATACATACATATCTATATATATATATATATATATATATATATATCTCAAAGGAATAACTTATAATTTATGTCAACAAGTTTTAAATACTTGTGTCATCAGACTGAAATCATATCTTATGTAATGGACTAAGTCTGACAATTTTTTTACTGTATTTTTTGTTTATACATTATTTTTGAAGATACAAATATTTAAGTAAATGCTCTGTTTATAATAAACGGCATTAATAACATTTACTGACCTGAATGTCAAAAAAATCTCAAAGAAAGGTTTGATTCCTGTCTTTCTTTGAGTTAAATGTTGTTAATACTGTTTATTATAAACAGAGCATTTACTTAAATATTTGTATCTATAAAAATAATGTATAAACAAAATATATGTATATATGCTTGATAGTATACACTTAGTTATATCAATTAATGAGTTGTGATACAGTGTAGGTGGAAATACTTAAAATGTTTATAATACGGAATCTTTTAAAGATAATTTTATTGGTTAAGAATGTTTGTGAAATCAGGATTTTTTTTTTTTTCAGATGACCAGCATTGTGCTGCCAGATATGGTCAAGAAAAACTGTGGGGTCATTGTAAATGTATCATCAGCTTCTGCAGCTGGACCATGTCCCCTGCTGACTGCTTATTCAGCCTGCAAGGTAACTGTTCTAATTATCACCAGGATTTTTTCAGGAGGCAACAAGGGGTATTTATTAACAATCTCTGGTTTCTTCTTTGTTTGTAGCAAGGGTATATATCGGAATATGTAAATTTCAGAAAGACATAAGTTGCACGTGAAAACCGGGCACCTTCAGTTGATGCCAGAATGTGATTTGCAGTTACTGACAAGGATTTTAACCACTTCAATGAAGTGGAACATTGTGTCAAATGATTCTGCCTATTAGTTACTGCACTGTACTCTGTATGCTATGTTCCATGGGATTTTGTAGTTGTTGTTGACTAACAAGGGTACCATTAGTGATACCATGGTACTGTCTGCTGGGTCTCACCTAAGCCAGAGACCATAGCCATTGGACTATGACATACTGTTAGAGAATGTGTAGCCTGGCCAAGAATGACAAACTGCTGGTCAGAACTGTGATGACATGGACTTAGATGGATTTGTTTTTGAATCTGTGGGCATGGAATTATGACAGTGATGGGCTTCCTTTGCTTAACTTTTGATATAAGATCAAGATGGTGCAGAGACAGTTGTAAGCATCAGGAAAGTCAAGATATCTCTTATCCCTTTGTGAAGCAAGCTAGCACGTTGGAATGAGATTTTGTCTAACTGATTGATGTGTGTTCTTCAGATGATTTCCCTATCCTTGCTTCCTCCTAGAAATGATGCTACAATTTCTGTCCCTCATAAAATAAAGCAAAAAAAAAAAACAAAAAAAAAATTCATTTGTTTATGCAATCCATGATGTACTGTTGAGGTCTGAATGTTTTTTTTATAGATTGAAACTGATAATTTAAATAAATTGATAAATTGATTTCATGGAGGTATTGTCCCTTTTCTCTTTTTTGTTTTATATTGTATATGTTTTTTTTTATTTTGTTTTGTTCATTATTTGTTTTATACATTTTTATAAAGACATTTCTTTATTTACTTTTGCTTTAAAATGTGAAAAGTGAGTTTAAGAGACATCAGATGCAGACTTGGTCAGAAATTTCACTTAAAAATGATTTAAAAATTTTTTTTTATAAACTTTTAAAATCCTCTTCAAAAGTGATTCTACTGAATTAAAAATAAGATACTAAACTTTGATTTTTATTAATTAAATTTTTATCTATCTAAAAATATTAATGAAAAATCTTGTTTGCTATTTTAGTTTGAATTGCATTTGATAATTTAAAAAAAATATATTAAAATATCCCAAATAATGATATAAAAATGTTTTTTTCCTGAAGATATTTCATATTTTTATCAAGATAAAACTAGGTAAACATGTCTATTTGGGGGCAAACTGATTCCATTGCCATGTTCTTTGGTATCTGTTTTACATGATTTTTTATTACTTTGCTTCAATGAATCCTCTGACTTTTTTTTTTAGGCTTATGTAAAGTACTTCTCTGAAGGATTGTCAGCCGAATATAGTGATAAGGGAGTTGTAATACAGGTAAGATGTTTCTCTATTCAAATAAAAGAAAATTGTTTTATACATGATGAGCATTCTTTCTTTTTCTTTTTTGTTGTGAATTTACAATAAATGCATTTGTTCTGAAAGTAGGAAAATACCACCCCTCTCCTATTATACGGGTTTAGGGATGAGTAGGTAGTCTGCAAATATTGTGGGGAGAATTGGTAATGAAATCTTCATTCTATCTTTGACACTATTTCACTTTAATTAGTAAGTTTATTCTGTTCTCCTTAACTGTGGTGGAATTCTGTATAAATTTACAAGCTTTGTGATTATCATTGTACTCATTAATGGAATTTATACAATTTGACAAATGCGTTTTATTTTAGTGTACTTTAAAGATGTCTTAATTGTATTTGTGAAGTACAGTAAGCAGTCATTTTGTCAGATGTTGAAATTCACAACAAAATGCTTATTTCTGGGAAATGTTTTAACATAGGACGGAAAATGATACCAAAATCCAAAGGTGAATTCGAATAGGAAATGACGGCTTCCAAAAGCTAAGCAAAAAAAACCCAAAAAAACAAATTGATTAGACACAGAAAGGAAACACCCAGAGAAGGTCATGAGAAGAAAGTAATAAACATCTTTTGTAAGAAGACAGAATGACTGGTTGTCACCAGAAAGAAGCACCCAACATGTGAAATACAAATTGGAGATGCTAAAAACAAGCAGGTATGGAAATTTAAATATCTGGGAAGTGTTGAGGATGGAAAATCTGACCTGAAAATCCGAATGCACATTGGAATACTGAAAGCAATCTTCCAGAAGTATTGTAAGTGAAGTATGATGAAACCAGAAAATTATAAGCAAAGTATGACAAAACGGGAAAATTTTGTTAGAAATAAAGGAAAGACTGCTGAACTCTTATGTAATATCAGATCTCCTATATGTCAATGAATGCTGGACAATTCTCACAGATGAAAGAGAGACTTGAGGCAATGGAAATGTAGTTCTACAGAAGGATATTAAGAATCACATGGACTGACCATGTGAGTAACGAGGAAGTTTTAGTGATGTTGGTAACAAAATGGAGACATATTTAAAGTCAGAAAGAGAAAGTTGAAATTTCTAGGGCACATAATGAGGAAAGATAGCTTAGCATATTGACACTCACAGGACATTGAAAGCAATAATCATTGAGAAACCGAGTAATTAATCTAACAAGCTTGTATAAATGTGTAACAGAACAAGGGGTGTGTGGGATGGTGAAACTAAAAAAACCTTGAACCTATTCAGTACTTAGATGGGTGACTGATTGGGAATATCAGGTGCTGTAATTGGATGTGTGTGTGGTGTAATGAATATTGGCTCGTAATGAGAAATTGGAGAACAGTTCAAATTCCATTCGGGTTCCTTATATTCATTTATGTGTCAAATATCCTTGGTAAAAGTATGAATCTATCTCTTTTCCTAGCTATGGGTTAATTAGTAGGTCTTGTCCCAGAAAATTATTATCGCCCCCAAATTTTTACATTCCAAGAATGTCTTGGCTTTAAATAACTTTAAAAAGTTTGAAAAGACGAAAAAAAAAAAAATTAATCACCCTATCAAAACAAAAGATAGGATGTTGTTGTGAGCTGTGATCTCCCACGTCCTGAAGGAATATGGCACCTAGAAGTCTGATAATGCTGATTTTGTTTTTATACTAATGTTTTATGGATCTTTTTTTTTATCTTTTATGACCTGTCTCCTTAATTCATTTCTGTTTTTCCTTCTTGCTTTCAGTGTTTGATGCCTTTCTATGTAACTACCAAGATGAGCAAACTTCGGAAATCTTCTGCCATGGTGCCAACGCCAACTGCATATGTGAAAAGCTCTTTATCAAGTCTTGGGATTTCTTCTTGTAGCTTTGGTTACTGGTCGCATAATTTTCTGGTAAGTCTCCTATTTCTGATAAGCATGTAGTGAGAGACAAAAAGTTATTTCCCCTTGACCCAAAGCAAAAAAAAAAAAAAAAAAATAGCTATAAAAATTAATTATAAATATTCATGATCTTTCTATATTTCTGAAATGAGGCATTGTAATTATTTACATTATTTACATAATATATATAAAATTTTGCAGCTGTAAAGGAAAATAAATGAAAATCAAAATGAAAAATTGTTAATTTTTTAGTGTAATTGGTGTTTATCCATTTGCTTGGACTTTAAAATGCAGGCGTTTCTCCTCATTATCTTATGCAAATGATTCACTTTTCTTTTTAAAAAAAGAACCATTTTCTATTGTTTTTGTCATGTATTAGAAATGTGGCAATATTATGAGAATGTAGATTTTAGAAATAAGCAAAGATTCAGTAAAATACTGAAATAGAAAAAAAAACAAAACAAAAAAAAAACAAACTTTTAAACAGAAGAAAAAGAAGATAAAGAAAAACCCAGAACAGTTGTTTGCTCCTGAGGTTAATTGTTGCAAGAAATGGGTGGAGTTGGATCTTAAAGTTAGTTGTGAGAAATGAGCCAAGTCAGATCCTGGGTTTAGTTGCTGAGAGAAATGGACAGAGTTGGATCCTGAAGTTAATTGCCAAAAAAAAATGGGTTAAATCAGATCCTGCCATAAAATAGTCAAAATCAGCCATAAAAATGCACAATCCCACCTGCTACTGAAGTAGAAGTTAACATTTGCTGCAATAAACTTTCATTTCTTATGAAAACATTAAATTCCTGTTAATTGTTGCTGAGTTTGTCGGGTTGATGAATTTGGTGAAGTTACAAATTAGTGATACGTACCTAGATTTTATCCTGTGAACTGTCAGTTGCTCTAAAATCCATTTTGACCGAGATGCTGAAGTATCATTTCACACTTAACTAATCATAACATGGCTTGGAGAGGGATTTTCTGTGCAGGAACTGCAGTGAACGTTGCCCATCAAATAGTGCTTCAAGTTGACTTGATTGTCACAACCAGAAACAACCCAAAGAATGCCATAGATAGAAAATACAAAAAGAAATAATAATGGCTTAGATTAAATCAAAAGAATTTGTTAGCTTTTTAATTAACAATGCTGACCTTTTTAAATTATCAAAGCATTTACTCTGCAACAATTTTTAAAGTGATGAGCATTAACTAAAAAAAACAAAAAATAACAACATAATTTTAATTATTACGGTATTATGTGTCTAATGCAAGATTTTATTCGAGAAGGAACAAGGTTTCATTTTTCCTGTTTGTTGTGTTTTTACTTTGTAACTCTGAAAATGATCCCTAAAATCTAAGAATCATTGTAACATTCTTTTTTTTTTTTACTGATGTTTAATATTAAAATTTGAATCCTGACATTATTCGAATCAATTACTTGATGTGCTTTGAGCCCTTTTACTTTCTGAAGTGACCATTTCCTTTTTAACTGATGATTTTTTTAATTTATTTCAGGGTTGGTTCACTAAAACACTGCCCAGGTTCTTTCTCACTTGGTATGTAAAGAATCAGCACCTTGCAATCCGATCAAGAGCGCTCTCAAAGCAAAGGATGAAGAAAGAATAGACCACACCAAAAACAACTGAATTAGTTGTTCAGCAAAAAAAGAAAATATAATTCAGTTTTTCCTAACTTGGTTTGTTATTTTCCTTTTGTTTTCTCTGCCTTGCACTCTTTATCTTCTATATTTTGTTGTCTTTCAGCCGCTTTTAGATTGGGTCAGATTCTATTGGTGTTAGTATCCTGCTTTATTTCCCCATCTGCTACAATAAGCACCCCCCCTCACATACCTGCATTAGTTACACATATAGCATCTTATCATGTATATATCTTCTTGATCCTTCATTTGTAAGTTAGGTGGCATGAGCGATACACCGTGCTATTATCTCGGATAAATAACGAATCATTTAATTTTGATTGCAAGGAAAGCCAGAAGAAAAACTATATCAGAGATTCTGTTTGGTTTTAGTGAGAAAAAAAAAAAAAGCATGCATATCAAGAAAAAAAGAAAGATAGGGAAGATAGAGAAGCTATAACACCCTCATACATTTACTGTCTGCTTTGCTTCTGACTACATCAGCTTTGAAACTATAATTCCCGTATAATCAATGAGGTTAAGCAACCTCGAGCCTAGATGGGTGACCACTTGGAAATATCAGGTGCTGTAAACTTGGATATGCCATGGGTGTAACGGATAATGGCTCAATTGTAAATTGGAGAGCCAAGTTCCAATACTGTGTTTGTTATATTTGCTTATGCACAAATACTCTTGGGGAAGGTATGAATCCACCTCTTCTCCCCTAGCTATGGGTCAATTAGTAAGACTTGTATCACTAAATCATTATATAGGAATAAAGTGTCACTGCTGGCACTTGAGTTTGAACATAGATTGCCATTGAGCAAACACAGGCATTCCCATTATTGAATTAAGTAGACCACATGACCATATACTCTATGAAGTAAGTTTGGAAGTGGTATGACGTCCAATTGATCACTATTTGTAGTCTATCCTCTATTATCCTCTATTACTATACAGACTGCTATTCTCTATACTATTCACTGTACTAATTCTCTATACTATTCACTGTACTAATTCTCTATACTATTCACTGTACTAATTCTCTATACTATTCACTGTACTAATTCTCTATACTATTCACTGTACTAATTCTCTATACTATTCACTGTACTAATTCTCTATACTATTCACTGTACTAATTCTCTATACTATTCACTGTACTAATTCTCTATACTATTCACTATTCAGTGGTTACTATTCGAGCGAGCATTATCTAGCATGTAATATTAGTGTGAGTGATATTTGAAGGTGTCTGACACCAGCATTGTTCAACTGCATATTATAGTGGTATCTGCAATTACAAAGTCTCTACTACAATGAGCATTTATGAAAGTGACAACGAATATTCATTGATATCATAAAAGTGGCAACAAGTGTTTGTTGACATCACAAAACATATCTGAAAAAAATTCTCACAATGTAAAAATTTTTTTCTGGCTTTAAATAACCTGCAAAGTGTTGATAAGTTGTAGAAAATGAATGAATCAATCAATAATGTCTACTTCTGTGGAATAGAAGACAATTTTGAGTTGTTTCATTTGTACCCTCTTACTTCTTTATGATTGTTTTTGCAATGTTTTGTTAAAGTTGTTAAGCTTAACAATGGAATAAGGAAATTTTCTATAGGTATTTTATAGTCATAGAACTTGTAGAGAGCTTATTAAATCATTAAATTTAAAATTATAATTAGAAAATTCAAGTAGGAAAACCTTGAAATTTTCAAGGCTACTGCTTGTAGATATAAATTAGGTTGTACATTTGCTAATAACTCTTGTGTGTAATGAGTACAATATGAGATGACCTTCCTGGTCAATGTGATTGATATCAATTTGTCAAATGTTTAAACTGCAATCAAGCTTTACCCTTGGTTAAAAAAGTCAGGCAACTGTGTTGTGGGACAGGAAAGCCAGACAATAGGTGACCAATTACTTTATATGTGGCTGATAAGTGATTCAGTTTACAAATCTTTCTATGCAAGAAAATTAGGCAAATCTAAGGCAGAGTTTGAAAGGATGTTCTGGATGGTTCGGCTACCAAACCAATATATTTTTTTTTTTTTTTTTTTTTTTTAAAATACAAAATCATTTATTGACTCGTCAGTGCTTAGTATCTTAGGATTATGGTTTTACAATTGAAATTCCAAGTTGCTTTCTTTTCTCTTATAATGAATTTTACTTCAGATTTACACTCAATTTCTGTTTTAACATAAAGAATAAACATTTTCTTTTAAAATATTACAAAGATGAATCTGCAATATTATTGGTCCCAACCTGGTATCTCGGCTTCAATCCCTGTCCCACCAATATAATGTAGCTTCCCTGTGCCTTTTCTATAAACATTTTTATGGTAATTGTTCTGATGAACTTTCTTCTATGGTACCTAAACTTTATGAATTTAACCACAGTACTAGATTGGTAGCAAGGTTTCATCATTTTACAATTGAAATGGCTAAATGTAACTGTAAGTTCTATGCTAGCAGTTTCTTCTTTTGCCCATCTTGTTTATAGAACTCTCTTCCTGCTTTTTGCTTTCCAGCCATCTTTGATCTTCAAAAATTGAAATACACTTTCAGTTGTTATCTTCTGTATTAATTCCTATTCTTTTATTATTGCGCGTTAATAGTGTTTTCTTTCTCATTCTTTTGTACTGGGTAATCCTTTGTCTTAGTGACTTTATTGCCTTGCTTGGGGAGGAAATGATTAAGAAAGGAAACGTCTGTTGGATATGATTGTGGTTAGTGACTGGTTGATAATAGCGATTGAGCTTAAACGGAATTGTGGCATTACTAATCGCTTTGCTACTTTGTGTGGAGTGGGGGCTGCTGTGTAAAGATTAGCTTTGTTGGTGAAAGGACAACCAGTCTGAATTAGGCAGTCAGCTATTAATGAATTAAGTCTAGAGACAGCATACTATGACAGAGAGAAAGAACTGAACAGAATTTAACAATAAACTGAGGATTTATTTGTGAAAGCAAATAATATCTGTGAGGAAATAGATGTGAATAATGTTACCGAAAATATAAAAAGTTAAAAATATCTCTGAGAGTCATAGCCATTGTTGTAATGTGTAGGGATTTTTGTCTGATCAGCTTGTGGAATGGCTGTGCAAATTGGACTTGAAATGTCTGCGAAAATTTTCTCTCATTTGGTGCTGGGAGTTGTGCATGCTGTTTCGATTGGGAAGCCAGTCTCCTGTGAACCCTGTGTGGAAAATAGGAAGATTTTCTTTCAGCTTTCCAGAAGTCAAAATTTGCACCACTAACCCACCTTGATCAAACAGCACCATGAGAATGTCTGCTGTGAACTATGCATGTCTTGAGGAAGGTCAGCAAGGTTGTTCTAGGTAAAATCAGCAGGTGTGTAGGCCCCCTTACACACGTGGGTTTATTCTTTGGAGTCATGACAGTGTTAGACTTTGTTCAGTCAGGAGGAAAATATCATGAGATAAAGCATTTTTTTTTTAATTTTTTTTTTTGTTTTTTTTGTTTATTTTATCAGAAATTTTAAAGATAGTTATTTTTTGATATTTTGTTTTGTTTCTCTTTTGACAAATGGCAGATTTAATATTTTTGTTTGATTTCATTTCAGATGAAGGAAACTGGCTTTTCTTACTGGTTCAAATATTTTACGTGTCGCTTGTGGGGAGGAATGGTTTTGAACTGGATTTCATTTATGATGCTGGTCACATTGACTATTTCTGTCTTGGCATCATCCTAAATTACAAAGGAAAAAATTACTTAAGAAAAATGAAGTTTCAAATTTTGACAGGAAAAAAATTTAACAAGTTTTTGGAATTATTTTTTATTTGTTTTTGTCACAAAAATTTTTCTATCACAATTTTTATTGTCACAAATGATTGCCTTTAAATAAAAGTAAAAATACTTGAATGTTTTCTTTGTTTGTTAGCAATTTGCTACATTTGAAAATATAGATGTGTTTTTATTTTTTACATTGAGGTTTGCCTTGTACAAGTCCTGAGAGCCACTACAGGCAAAGGCTTACAGAATAAGAAGCACAGTTTATGTGTATATGTGGGGAATATAACAGTTGACTCTTGACTTGAACATATTGTTTTGATCAGGGAGAACATCTTCTTGGGAGTCAGTTCCACAAAGCAGTGGCTCATGGGAAGAAACTTCTTGAGGGGAACTTCTCACCAATGGAATACAGAGGGAATAAAGATGGTTCTCTATAATGTGCATAACATTGTGGCTTGTATCCGTGACGGTTAGAACTGGTGGAACTAAGGGATGTAGTTCATCTGAGCACTTTACATGAAAGTAGCGATAGAGCAGCGATAGTTTTATGAGAGAGAGGTTGCAGGTTGGAAAGTAATTTGTCACCCACAAGAACACTGAGATGCTGCTCTAGATGAAGTATAATGGCAGTATTCCATTTTTGGCCTGATCCGGCTCTTGAAAAGTAGTGGATAGCACAAGGAGTCTGGTACTTACTGAAGTGGTACAGAGAACCAACAATTTTTCCTGCAGTATCTGTCAACGGCCAAAACGTTGTAATAAATATGGTGACAAAGACGAGAACAATAGTCCGAATAATGTAAATAGTGTAATTTTTCCTGCATCTTTAGCAAAGGATCAGACATATGAGTTCCACTTGATGCTTGAAGTGCTCTTAACAAAACCTTGTATTATGTAAAATGCAACTTGTAGCACTTCTGTATGCAGGCCAATGTGTTTTTTTTTTTGTTTTTTTACTAACATTCACTCGATATAAGACTCGAGAGCCACTCACGGTAGAGGCTTACTGAGTGAATGATATGATATGAATTTAAAAGAAGCTGGTAGATTACAATTGACCTTTGCCTTGAAGAGGTTAAGATTGTAGAGTTCAGGTAAGCATCCATATAGGAGTCTGTTCTATAAAGTAGCAGTTCTTGTGGTGGTGGTGGTGGGGCTATCTGAGGGGAAACTTTCTCTTTAGAGTTTGAATATAGAGGAAATGAGGTTGACTATTCAACTCCATCACTGTAACATAATGAGTTGTGGTAAATGTCTGAACTGGTAGAACTAAAGGATGGAGCTCATCTGAACATTTGCCTTGGAAATAGCAATAGAGTAGCAATTGGTTTGTGATGCGTCTCTGGGAATGACACTGCAGAGTGAACAACAAGTTTCTCTCCACAAACTGTATAAATGATTTTGATTTCTATCAAGGCTGGAAAGTGAATATTGAGCAGCTCCAGCCCAGATGTGGTAACAATACTTCAGTTTAAATTCTGAAACCATCGTAATAAATATTCATAATAAACAAATATTTCATACTCCATTTTTAGTCTAATCTGACGTGTAATGATGTAGCATGGTAGAAGGAGTCTGTTACTTTTTTCTAAATATAAAGTAATAAATGTGACTATTTAGAAGCAAGTGTATGAGGTCAGTTTTCAGTGAGAGATACAAACGTATGTCATTGTGACACTTGGGATGGCAAAGAGAAATTAACTATGGTATATCGTACTCTTGCAAGTTACTCTAAAAGAAAATAGTAATTTTAATTTTTTTTTTTTTTTAAAACACTGATAATTTATATATATTTATGAAAGTAGATCAATAAGTTTGTGATGAGCTAAATTTTGATCTGAAATACTTGCTGTATATTGTTCAATCAATGTTTAATATTCACCACTAAATTAAATGTCTTGAGAAAGAGATTATGTTGAAAAATAAATGTTTTTTGTTTTTTTTCCAGTCGTCTACTGACCAATTGATGTACCCCCATATGTATTAAGATTTAAAATTTCCTGGTAATTTTCAGAAGTATGAGATTTTAGTTTGTCGATTTTATTTTGGAAATTGGTGTTCTCTCATTTGATGGAATCAATCTCAAGCCATTCAAGATGACCATTTAAATGGTCAAACTGAAATTTTATTCTTATTTTTTTAACTTTTATATATGGTCCCCTGTTTTAAAAAAAAAAAAAAAAAAAGAAAATTAATAGACCAATTTTTTTTTTTTTTTTTTTTTAACTAACATGAACCCAATACAATGCTCAATCCATTTTATTTATTTCCATTTTGGGATTCTCACCTTTGAAGTAACCAATTTCAAATCCTAATTCATATTTCTTATATAACTCAACATAAAAAATAGGATCGTTTTCATGGATGTTCTATTAGATGCTAATAATGATGATTTTTCACACTTCAGTAAATAAATTTTCCACTAGTACAAATTCATGTCTCCTTAATTATAAAAGTGAATATCTACACAATTACAAAATGGGTTTTACGAACCCAAATTTTATCAAAGACCTAATGAAAAGAAAGACTCGGTTCTGGAGGCTGTTGTAATAGAAGTAAAGCAGCCAATATTATATAAGGTCTCTTTCTTCATAGAGAACCGTATAAAAAAAGTAAAAAATACACATAAAAATTTCAGTTTGACCATTTAAATGAGGTCATTTTCAGTGGCTTGAAATTGCTTCCATCAAATGTGAGAACGCCAATTTCCAAAATAAAATTGATGACAAATTGAAATCTACTTCTGAAACTACCAGGAAATCCTAAATCATATTTCTGATATAACTCAACATTAAAATTTATATGTGGAAATTCCACTTGATGCTAATTTGTGCAAGGTATTAGTAATTAAAAATGCACTTCAATTAGTCTAATTAGTGAGAGAGATCTGAAATCCTACAAATTGAAGTGCAATTTTCTCTGGTAATATAAATCATCAAACTGTTAAGTGATATAGCTCAATATCTTTATTTCTACATGAGAAGGAAATTATCTGAATTCTTTCACTGATTTTGGATTCTGTTTACTTAATGTGTTAATGGATTGCAATTGATTTTACAACATTGTTACAGTTCAATGTACAGTAGTTTTAAAAGTGAGTTGTTTTTTTTCTTTTTTCTTTCTCTCTTTAAGGTATCTATTGTTTAATATTACAATGGAAACTCGGTTCATGAATTTAATTCATTCCTGAAGCCCGTTAGTAAGCTAAAATGTTTGTAAACCGAAACTATTTTTTCAATAGGAATCAATGTAAAATGAATTAATCTGTTCCTGGTCCCAAGATAATTGCTTATTTAAATGTTAACAGTACTTTGTGCACAAGGCTATACATAAAACTAATGAAAATCATTAAATTTAAGGAAAAAAAATAAACCCAATACTAAACAGATAAAACACTTCAATTTTACTGTACATGCGTGTAGGAGATTTGATGGCGTAAGTGGAAGAGGAAGGAAAGAGATGTTATTGTTTGGAAAAGGGAAGGAAAGACATGATCATCTCTTTATTTATAAGAATAGTAGAGATCGTTGATTTTACCATATGAAACTGAGTAGGAAGAGACAATATCATCAACAATTGTTTTTCTCTTAACTTTTCCCTTTACTAGTATCACTGCTAGCTTTCTTTGGAGCCATAACTGAGGACTAATGAAGAGAGAAAAAAAGCCACAGCACAATAAAATTGGTAAAAGAAAAGCACAGGATAACACATGAATGTATACAACACGGCGGTCGATTAAGAAATGATTCCGTTCGGGTTAACTTGGTTTGGCAAGGTTGTTCAAGAACCTAAATTTTGTTTGATAAACAAAGCATTTTCATTTCAAATAAACTGTTTGAAAACTGACTTATTTGACATGTGGGATGTTCAAGAACTGAGATTGCACTGTATTAGTTTTTGAATTTGTATTAAATTGAAAACACCTTTATGAATATTGATTGTCCTGATTGAAAACAATAGTTTACAGACATTCATCAGCATGGCTGGCCCTAGACTCCTGGAGAGCAACACATTGTGCCTGTTTGATTTCATGTTTTCAACTGACTTGAAGTAGAGGGACTATATCAAATTAATAGCTGCATCGACTGCAACAAAAGTTGGATCATTGTTGTGCTAGAAATTTTTTCTCCTCAGAGTCCATCTTGCACATTTACAAATCTACCATTCCATTGTGCATTAAATATTACTATCATATCTGGTCTGGTGCTCCTGCTATTCATCTCAAGGTTCTTGACAAAATCCAAAGTAGTATCTGTAAAGTAATTGATACTGACTTGGCATCTTGACTTCAGTAACTTTTTCACCGACGTGGCGTGGCTTCCCTCTGTCTTTTCTAGAAATATTTTCATGACAACTGCTCTGATGAATTTTTTTTCCTAGTGCTACTAGATTAGACTCTAGGTCCCACCCATTTACTGTTGAAATAGCTAAATGCAACTGCCACTTCTATTTGAACAGTTTTTTTGCACTTCTTGCCTGTGGAATTCACTTATGTTTACTTGCTTCCCTGATAAATTCAATCTTCAAAAATTTAAATGCATTCTCAATCGCCGTCTCCTATCTTCTTGAATCCCATTCATCCTTTTGTCCTTTTCTCAATTCTCCCAATACTCAGTCTTTTCTCTCATTTTCACTCTCTTTAACCTCCTGCGGACGTGGTATTCCCGCCTCCCCTGGGGTGAAATTATAAAAAAAACAAACGTGTCCGGTGATTCCTGTCAGAATTTCCAGGATGAGGAGATGGCATTATTTATTTTATATTTGAAGTGTCGTGGATTAAAGCTTTGATTCATGAATTTTGGGTCAGTGATTGTGAGTTCAATCCTTGGGTCGGGCAGAGTGTACTTGCACTCCGTAGAAAAGGGGCGAGCAATAACTGAACAGTACTAAGAACAGGAGATGATATTCCTAGACATGGGCAGCAGAAGGAGAACAGTCTACCCCCATAGATCTAATAAA